TCTCTGCGTTTTGAGTTGTCTATTGGGGTCCATAAACATCAACCAGCCGTCCTGATAAACAAGGCTGTTGGTCCTAAATCATTTTTATGTGTGTCTGTGCTTTGTTGTTATGGAGCAGGTGCCCTCTGGTACTGGGGCATAAAACAATCAAGAAACACTTTGTAACGATATCTCTGATCTGTCTTATCATTTAACTTGGGGGCGGGGAGGAAGGACTGCAAAAGCTCTTTTCCCCACTCCACTACCTCCTGAAAAGGAACGAATTCGTGCTGACCATAAGCACCCATCCCCCTTGGTCTTAGGACTCACACTCACAAATCACTGGTCAGGCCCCCAAAAGTCACAATTGGCTCAAAAATACAATCATGTGAGTTGGCAACACTGGGAAGGTGGCAAGATAATCGTTCAAGAGGCACCTCAAATTTCCTGGAGTCACCTTACAATAAAAAGTAGGGAGGGAGCAATGGGAGAAGAGGATCTCTCACTTCCTCTTCTGAATCATAGAATCATAGAATATCAGAGTTGGAAGGGACCTCAAGAGGTCGTCTAGTCCAACCCCCTGCTCAAAGCAGGACCAATTCCCAGCTAAATCATCCCAGCCAGGGCTTTGTCAAGCCGGGCCTTAAAAACCTCCAAGGAAGGAGACTCCACCACCTCCCTGAAGACCTTGCTAAGGACCGGGGCTAAAGGCTTTCCTCAGTAAATGAATGTGAAGATTCTCCTTGATGTTTTTAGTTCCTTTGGCTGGGCAGGGCAGGGTCCAGAGGCTGACTCTGTGCTATTCAAGGAAATTCTGTGGAAGGAGTGGAAACCCTTTGGGCTCACTTAATTGGCCTGTAACAGTACCGGGAAGGTGGAAGGGGCGGTGTTGCATAGTGAATATGGGGCTCTGGTCTGTGTTTTACTGATTTAAAGCACTTTGCTGGTTGGTGCCAGTAGGAATTTCTCCAGTAAATGAAACTGAAGCCAATGGGAGCTAGGGGTGGTGGCGCCCGCGGGCGAGAGCAGCACGTGGAGACTCCTTGCCCCCCCACCTAGGAGCCGGACCTGCTGGCCGCTTCCGGGGCGCAGCGCGGTGCCAGAACAGGCAGGCAGCCTGCCTTAGCCCCGCTGCGCCGCTGACCGGGAGCCGCCCGAGGTAAGCCCGTGCCCCAACCACAAGCCCCGCCCCTGAGCCTGCCCAATCCGGAGCCCCTTCCTGCACCCCAAATCCCTATCCCTGGCCCCACCTCAGAGCCCGCAGCCCCAGCCCAGAGCCCTCACGCCCCCTCCCACACCCTGAACCCCTCATCCCCAGCCCCACCTAGAGCCCTCACCCCCTCCTTCACCCCAACCCC